GGGCCTGGGAGCCGGGCTGTGGGGGCGCCCTCCCGCCCCACTCCAGAAGCCCCGTCTCGTCTGCAAACTGCAAAGCGCCTGGCGTGTTACCGGCCTCGTACATGTCAGCGCGTCCCTTCCCGGGCCCCGGGGGACGCGGAGGCTGCAGCGCACGCGGCCAGCTTTCTCTGCCCGGAGCTCCAAGGCGGGGGCTGACCGCCTCTCCCGCTGTCTGTGGTTTCTCCGCTGCGTGGGCCTGTGGCCTGGGACGCCGTCCAGCCCCGGTCAGGACGGAAGTGGCTCTTGCTGATTATGGGGGGAAGGCACGCCCGTGACCATTTCACCGCTTTAGCCCCAGCGCCGCCCGCGCACCTGCCCTGGGCAGTGGGCTGCTCCGTCTGCGTCTCGTGCAGCCAACACGGCGCTGAACGGCGGTGGGGAGGCTGAGGAGCAGCTCCCGGGTCAGGGGTGCCCTTGGGTTCCCGTGTGGCTCACGCCTGCCAGAGTGCGGTGACGCAGAGCCAGGGCGCGTGCCCAGACCCGACGTGAGGTCCAGTCGTGGCCGAGGCTCCCAGTGCTCGACTCCCTCTGGCGCCCGCCCACCTGCTCTCCGGGAGGGCGTTTCCTGCTCACCTGGGACTGGCTCGGGCAACCCAGCTCAGGCACCCACCACGCGGGGACCTCCCCATGCCTCCAACAAGGTGTGACCCCGGCCTTGGGCAGGCACCCCCTCTCCAGTGGACACCCTCTCAACCCTGGGTGTTCTTGGAACTTGGCGTCCCTGCCTTAGTAGATAATGAATTCTTTATATTAAACTTTCCAGGTCAAACTTCTGTGTGGTTTCTGACTCCCCTCTGGCCGGGTCCCAGGTGATGCAATGCTCCCGTCTGCCGGGGACGCCTTGTGCTGGGCCTGGGGAGGTACCCCAGCTTGGCTGCCTGCCCCCCAGGCAAGTGAAGGGAGACGCCAGCCACTGGTGCCAGGCCCACACCCCGCCTGGAGGAGTGAGAAGTGGGGCAAGCTGTGAGCTCTGTGCCCACGCCCTGGACGGGGAGGGGACTGACCTAGGGGGGCTCCCCTTCAAGTCACAACAGGCTGAACCAGGATGGGTCCCCCCCCCCCAGACTGCAGAACAGTTTCCCAACATCAGTGCCCCCTGCCCAGCCCAACCCGGGGCCGATGTCACAACCTGCAAGTGCCTTGAATGCCAGCCGGGCCGGGCAACTCCGCCCTGAGTGCCCGAGGCACATGGACCCCACCTTTCTTCCTGCTCAGCCGGCAGGAAGTGGTCCAGGCAGGAAGGCCGGAGCGGGTGTCTCGCTCCCGGGAGGCCCGCCTCTTTCTTTCTTTTAATGTATTTTCGTTGATTTCAGAGAGGAAGGGAAAGGGAGAGAGAGAAACGTCAACAATGAGAGAATCACTTGTGGACGAAACTTAACCTGACAGCTCAGGGGAGGCCCGCGTGGCCGTCTTGCAAACTCAGACCTAAAGTCACCACAAAGGACGGTCTGAAATTAAACTTTAACTAAAGCAGTGATGGTGGGCAGGCACCTCCTGGGCCGGTGTCTTCCCTGACAAGGGCAGCCTTTACCCTCACTGAGCCTGTCTGTCTTTCTGCATCTGTGACAACACAGCCTTGAAATGTCTGGGTAACGTGTGACTCCCCTTTTTCCGGAGCCCCTTGGGGCACAGCCTAATGTGCTGGGCGAGGACAGAGACCACCAATTCCGTCATTGTCATGTTAACTGTTCCTGCACCCACCTAAGCATGTGTCCATCATCTTACCTTTTATCCAATCCCAGGGTCCCCCCCTTTGCTTTCCCCGCCTCCCTAGTCTATCACCAATGGATTTCATGGAACCCACCTACATCCCTCCTTTGATTGGCTGTATAAATACGGGTGGAACCGCCATTCTCCGGACATTATCCCAATTTGTTGAGGTTCTGCTTCCCGGCCTATGTCCACAGTTGGCGCCAATAAACTCATAAAAATTCTTTACAGGTTTCAATGGTGTTTTTACGTTAACACACTGATCAGCTGCCTCCTACACGCCCCACCCTGGGGATCGAGCCCACAACCCCAGCATACGCCCTTGACCAGGGATCGAACCGGGCCAGGGGTGCCCTTGGATTTCCGTGTGGCTCACGCCTGCCAGGGGTGTGATGCAGAGCCAGGGCGCATGAGGTCCAGTCGCGGCCAAGGCTCCCAGTGCCCGACTCCCTCTGGCTCCCGCCCACCTGCCCTCCGGGAGGGCGTTTCCTGCTCACCTGGGACTGGCTCGGGCAACCCAGCTCAGGCACCCACCACGCGGGGACCTCCCCATGCCTCCAACAAGGTGTGACCCCGGCCTTGGGCAGGGCACCCCCTCTCCAGTGGACACTCTCTCACCCCCTTCAGTCTGCAGGCCGACGCTCTATCCACTGGGCCACACCAGCCAGGGCTTCTTTCAGTCCCTTTGAGTATGTGCCCAGAGTGTTAACGTGAAAACATGCAAACCTGTAAAGAATGGTGAGTTTATTTGAGCCAAACTGTCAACCATCGCCGGGAAGCAGAATCTCAACGGATTGGATAGCACTCCAGAGAACGGCGGGTTTCCACCTTGTTCATACCTTCCATCAAAGGAGGAGAGGTAAGTGGGTCCCATGAAATCCACTGTGATAGATTGGGGAGGCGGGAGAATGCAAAAGGGGTGGTTGGAGGAAAGCTCTGGGATTGGATAAAAAGTAAAATGATAGATACCTGCTTCTTTTACTTAGGTGGGTGCAGGAGAGTTAACCATCCACAGTTAACATCCTATCTAATAAAAGAGAAACATGGTAATTAGTGTACAACCGCTACCCTTCCCATTGGCTAATCAGGGCGATATGCAAATTATCTGCCAGACAAGATGGTGGTTAATTTGCATACGTGGCCACAATGCTGGGAGGCGCAAG